ATCCCTCCTATTTGGACGACAGTGAAAGTATTTTACACCTGTAAACAAACACTATGATCTTTTAAATGTTATTGCTGCAATTACAATTGCAAGGGTTACTTCAGTCCAGCGTTTCCGATAGGAGTTTTCGGAGGGGGCGGAAAGTCTGCTGAGTAACTAAACTTTTTTTGATTTACGTCTTTTTTAACTGAAACTCATTTTCTGAGTAACTGCCTGTTTGAAGCTAATTAAAGGCTGATATTTTTCGTATCATATTTATTTCCAAAATAAGACTAATCAACAGTATGAAGAAGTTAAAAGTAAGTCAAAATTTGTTGAGCAAATCTATTCAAAGAAGGGCGTGGATCTTCATCCACTTCCACCGCCTAGTCGGAAGCACTGCTTCAGTTTGTACTTGACGATTTTATAGTAGAGACTGAGAGTACAGCTTCTGGGAGAATAATCAGTTTTTTTCTCGTCTTCCTAAGTTTATTCAGTGACACACTGGCAGCTTACTCAGACACACATCTTTATAGATCTGTACGCGCAATGATGCAGGTACTTCTTTGCAGAGATCCGCACGGGCCGAAAAGTTTTGACCCATCCCGGCCAGATGATGAAAGTTTTCAAACCAAGCCCGGCTCGGTCAAACTAAACTTAGAGTTTAGTTGGCCCGGCTTCACCAATCGTGAAACTTTTCTGGCCCGACCCGACCACTTAGCGTTTTTTCGTCTTGTACCTGTAATGCTTCTGCTGATTAAGCGGTGAAAATGTATTTCTCAAGCTAATATTTATATTTTTATGATTTCTCGATACTGAGTATACACATAAATTACAAATTCACGCATGCTTAAAAATTCTAAGTTCGCCTAGCCCGATCCGACCAAAATACTTTACGACTCAAGCCCGGCCCGGCCCGACCACTCTATAAAATTTTCTGGCCGGGCCTGACTCCGCTCGGGCTGATCTCTGCTTCTTTGAACTGACGGATTTGCACATTTTCTCCAAGATTTTACAAGAGATTTTACATCGCTGACTTTTGCCTTCCACCTAAGAGTACAATTTATTTGTAACCCTAGAAAGACTAAGCTTCGTTGGCGCACTATAACCGAACTGTCTAGCAATTTTAACTGAGAAGTATTAGCTTTATTCTTGTTACTAGAAACGAACACCCATGTTGAATGCCATAAGATTGGAATTGCACCCATTGCAAAGATTGTCTATGTTATCCTAACGAAATTCTGGTAAGAAAGCGGCGATAACGCACAATCGTAATGATATCTCACAGTCAACAATTTTGCCTTATTTAATACTCCTACTTGAACAAGCTTTATCGAACATGTAAAAAAGCACAAACACGTTACTGGAATAAGAAATCGAATCACAGCTGAAGTAGATGGCGAGGACAGTAGCGACCTTTACGCTTTCTTTTGCACATTAGTTGAAGTTCAAGTTATTTAGTTCGTGATTTTAAAGCTGACAAGATGATGTAAAAAAATTAACAAACACTTTATCTAATCATCCCAGAACATATAAGAAAAAAGCGCAGAACAATGAAGAAAAATATGTTTCAATATATACTATTTCTTATTCTTAGAATAAAGATGTTTGATCCATGCACGTTTAAAAACTCGGATATTGAATACAGATATTATTTCCCTTCGTGACTGATTGGATTCTTTTATAGTTTTTGATAGGAAAGACGAGCTGGTGATTTTCGTTTATATACAAGAATCTGCCAAAGACATCAGTTAAAAGTTCGCAGAGGTGTTCTAGTGGAAAGCGGGTTAACTAACGGAAAGCACGGAAGTGCACTCGAAGCTGAATAAAAGACTGAGCGGATTTACATTTTCGCTTCATACCGTCTAGCATTTGCCTGCATCTTGAGCAATATTTTCAAGATGATCTATCCACGTGATGTAAATGTCTAATTTTCATGACGAAGCAGAAGAAAAATATTCTTAATCTACGTGTCAGCATTTTTTGCATTTTTTAATCAGAAAATATTTCTTTTAAAATAAACGTTTACATCTACAGCATGACAAATTATAATTTGACCACGAACTTATCCGACTTCGTTGGTACTTTGAATTGACGAGCGGTCATACTCGAAGATTATATTCCATTATTACTTTTAAGGTTTTGAGCATGTTCAAAAAGCAAGAAACGATTTTTGTGACATGGATCTTTTAATATTAGACAGAAAATAGCTAGTGAACAATAAGAATAACTCGTGCACTAAGGAAGCATTTCAAATTTATGCCAATTGCACGCCCGCCCTGTCGCTCCGCCAATCATATGCCGTTTGATATAGTTATGATTCATCTGTTCATGAAGTTGATGAATATACCATCTTTACGTGCCCTTTACACATATTTGAAATCGTGATATTACTCCCATCGAGGCGGCTCATAAAGGCGACTGTATGTGTTAGGCTTTTCTGGCATTCTATCTCGAAATGACTTTAGACGAGATACGACACCTGTCGAAGAACGTTATCTACAGGAACAGTATTACACAGCGAAACTGGAGACCGCGGATTTGGAATTAGTCGGTGTTGAATCGCTATTACGAACACTCAGTAATGATCAAGATACTATCGTCTTAACATTATCAGTGTTAGAGACCATTTCTCTGATTCTGTTTATTCAAATATAACTAAGAATGACAAATACTTTGAAATACCAAATACAATGTTTTATCCCAGAATCGATACAGATATTACATTAAGGCTAGCGAAAATACTATGGTTAGGCCCATTATCGGGAGACAAAGACCGTATTTGGAGATCTCATTCCGTTCCACCTCATTACACAATTCATCAACATGGTTTGGTCGCAGGCTCATAAAAATTTTCATAATTGAGAGGACATTATAATCCCACGCATTATATCACACCCGCATGTCACTGTCAATGCCCCTTGCGAGTGTCTGATGCCCAAAACACCAAGCTTTCTACTAGTCCTCATCGTCTTTCTGAAAATCATCCATTTCTCCGTCCAGTAGCATTGTTAAACCCCTGCAAATATATTCAACCGAAACACCAGGTAGATGTACGGCAAAAGGAAATTTCCTCTATTTTTCCAATGTTATTAGCGTTGCTGGCTATACTATTATCGCTATCGTTAATATTCCCACTCAAATCAGCAGTATTTTTGAAGAAACAGTGCCTTCCCACTATATCATATCTTCTAACCAAAGATGTTGAATCTCGTAAGCCTATTAAAATGCCTTCGGTATCTGGAAAATTATTCTCAACACTGCGGCAACTAAGTTCGCTCTGTCTTCTCTATTTATGCATTGGAAATGGAAGTATAAATAGTTCGAAAAATAGTCAGCAGAATCAAAAATAGAGACAATTAGATTGCCTATCCACGGCTTTTGAAATCCAGTTTAGGTGTCCGAGTCCTTCCATTAAGTCCCACACAACGATTCTTCACTTACTACAGTTGCTAAAAGAAATTGCGTCTCATGCGATTAAAATCGTATTATTAGAAAAAAGAAACCAGGAAGTGATTTATCTAAAACTTCCTTCCTTTGGGTCTCTCCTCCATGCAGCTCCTCTAATGGGTTTTAATCCGATAACTTCTCGCTAGTAAGAGTTCTTTTTACAGTACTTTCTAAAGTTATTTTCTGTCGACGTTTCGCATTCACATGAACTCATTTTCATGTCCATTTTCTGTATTACCTACATACATCGGTTTTTCAAGCACATCGACGTATACAGTAACAAATCAATTTGTACTGACGATGGATACAATACAAGACATATTGTTCTATAGCTGTTAAGATGGCACATCGTTCAGTTTAACTTAACAATTTTATTTTAGATTCAGATTAATTGAACTTTCATGTCTCATCTTTTTGCGTTTTCTAGTTTGTTTTTCCTTCGTGCAGAAGCACGAATTTTTTCGCGGTGGGACGAGATGTAAGAAAATACAATGATCTTTCTCACTGGCCACTCTCCTTGCACCAATTGTACATTCGCACCACTCCCACTCATTCACTCTTTCCATTCACCTTATATCTCTCTCCCATTGTTCATTTCTCTATTCATATTTATTCACTCTCTCTTTGCATGTGTTCAATACCTCTCTCTCATTGTTAAGATTTCTATCACTCTCCTGTTGTCTTCTGCACTATATATATTGATTGTACAACACTTACATTTCAGTCTATTTTCAAATAAACTCAGTAAAGGCATTGTCTCCTTTACAGACCTACATGGTGATCTTACCCAATTAAAAAATAATAGAGAATTCGCAAATATATCATGCACACCAATCCGCATTATGATCATCCAAAATTGAGTTCTGATCCAGTAAACTGAGAATTACGACTTTTTCGCCTGTGATCTAGAAAAAATGAATTATCTCAGCGAAGAAATAAGATTAAAGAAAAAGAACACTCATTTTTAAAGCTGGACTTTCAGTGAATCAAATGAAATGTGAATGATGGCTTGAAACCTTAATACAAGAAACTAGATAGATTTTCCGAATTATATGAGCGCGTTTTAGAGCCTTGTTTTGGGGCGTTCCTGTTCGACAGGCATTAATGTCGAAAACAATCAAACACGATATCCAGCGTTAGAGACCTGCATGTGTTGAGGAAGCGTAACACGAATCCGACTCGACTGTCAAAATGCCAATGTGAACCCCACCCGATTCGACAACATCTTAACGCGAACCCGATCGGACAAATTTTACTCTTTTGTTTGGTTCTTAAGTTTGTTATTTTTGGAGATACGGGTAGTTGTTAATAGTTGAAGTCTTCTGGTCATTTTGTGTAATGAGGTCGAACGAAATGAGATTCCCAAATACGGTCTTTGTCTCCCGATAATGGGCCTAACCATAGTATTTTCACTAGCCTTAATGTAATATCTGTATCTATTCTGAGATCAGAACAAGAAGAAAAAGTTTATAATAACAAAAACGGAGCTTTTTATTCTATTCAACCTTGCCTCACGTAATGTTCAGTTTTGATTCCATCACAAATTCTATCGCCAGGATGATGGAGTTTCTATGGGAAGTCCGCTAGCTCCAATTTTGGCGAATTTATTTATGGAAAAATTAGAAAATGAACACATACTAATACCGCAGCATGGTCAATTAATAAAAACTTGGATTCGCTACGTGGATGATATTCTAATTATAGTTAATGGATGTACAGATGACGTACTAGTATTATTAAATAATATCAACAGTATTCATCCTAACATAAAATTTACTGTTGAGCTAGAAAAAGATAATAAATTAGCTTTCTTAGATGTACTCATTGAAAAACATCAAGATCATTTAGAAACATCAGTCTACGGAAAGAAAACATGTACTCATTTATATATGAAATGGGATTCATGCAATCCAAAATATCAGAAAATCGCTCTAATAAAATCACTTATCACTCGAGCAATTCGGATTTGTTCAGGAGAAACTCTATTAAATGCTGAAATCAATTGGATTAAGACGGTGCTACATGAAAATGGATATCCAGCACAATTGTTAGAAAGAAGTATTAAAACGACATTCGAAAGATATACTAATAATATCCTTTTTAACCTGTCGAAAAATGCTGATAAATCTCAAAGCATAGTAGAAGGCAATGTTTGTTTCTATTACCTGGGTAACGAGTCAAGACAATTTGTATCGAACACAAAACGAACTTTGATTAAATATGGAATTACAAACATTAGATTCGGTTTTAGAAAATATCAAACAATAGACAGTGCTTTCTCACATAAATATAAAGGCAAAGATGAAAGCAAAGTAGGAGTTGTCTATTGTATAGAGTGTAATGATTGTGCTAATATTTACGTCGGTCAGACTGGAAATGAAATTGATACTAGAATCGATCAGCATAAAAAGACACTAAACAAAGTAGATCCCAATTCAAAACTGTTCGTTCATGCCACTGAAGACAATCATACATTAGAACTTGACAAACCATGTGTTTTGGCTTATGAAAGAAATGAAATCAAAAGATTACTAAAGAATACACTGATAACATATCAACATAATAATCTGACATACAATGATATATCACTAAAGACGGTCATGTTCAACTAGACGAAAAATCTCTGTATATATTTGTCTCTCTTCTCTCTCAAAAGTAGTTCGCCTGATGATGATACTGTGATAGTGTCGAAAGCTCGCTGTTTGTATGTAAAATGATTTTACTTAAATTCTTTTCTATAATTTTGAATATACTACGAGCTT